ACTTACGCGTGCGCAGTACTTACAGCTATAATGTAAGGAACAACTGAAATGTTTTCTGGCTTTAGCCTTGTCCATCCTCCGCGTACTGCACTCTTCAGTTTGATACTCCTCGTACGCGTACCCACTCGCTCTTCTGCTGGCCTACATGCAGTATTTTGACAGTGTGAAATGGATTGTGTGTGGATTTTAGCTTCCTCTACACAAGCGCATGCCCCATACTAGTAGCAAATAATCTCCGCTCCTTTTAACTTGTATCTTCTTTCAGATTGAATTACGAGCTGTTTTGAAAATTCCACCCGCTCAGGTGCACACTCTGCTAACCGCAGCAGGGGACCTTGTTTTCTTTGTCGACTTCATACCTATTTTTTCCTATTCTCTGAGATTTGTCGAAACCCAATTAAGGTTTCTTGGCTAATCCACCCACTTATGTGCATTCCCACCCATCATTAGCACTTGACCCCCCCCCACAAGCCCGTTTTAACAGTCCAATGAGTGACCGCTACCGTAATCCACGTTGGCACTGGAGCGCGCAGCTACACTACTGCTGTGTACCGGCACGTTCCAGCACCAACGTGAGAGGGTATAATGCCTCGCACGGCGCCCTTGGGCGGCTATCGAAAAATGCACGCAGCACTCGCGGCCCTACCGCTCCGCGGCGAGACAAGCGACTGCGCATGCTTCGCGCGCAGGGCAAGGGAGGTAAACCCAGGGTGCCGCCAAACCACTTGCCGGCAAGTTCGACTACCTGCCATACTCCACCTATATACAGCACAGACGCTCCGTACAAGAGACCAGGTTCTATCACGTCCATTTTGTCGCCGTGGAGTGCGCGGAAAAACGACAAAAGGGCACGTCGAATTCAAATCGATGACACGTGGCATCGCGCCAACCAGTTACGGGTTACGGTTCATCGGACTTCTTAACTCATTAATTGACTACCCTCCATCTCCAACCTCATCATCTTCTCTCCGATTTCTGCGACTTCTCAGATCAATGTGGAGAAATTGTAGGAAGCACTGTTACTTGGAGACACACTTCGCCCACTGTGCGGGCGGAGACCTCCTTTCTTGTCAGGTGTGGTGGGAGCACCATAGAATTGTCCTATATCATTTTCCCTGCTTCCAAACAGCTTTCTTCCAAACCAGTCACGATTTTTTTATTAAGCACTAAGTTGTAGGTAAGGCTTCGCCCACCGAAGGCAGGTCCCATCCGAATTGTCGATACAGTGCATGCCCTGACTCATCTCCCTGGTTTTAAGATGTTTTGGAATCAAATTCATGACTTTAGCTGTGGGAACCGCCCTTCGTGGTATGCCACCCAGCGTATGTGCGCTCAATATTATGCCATGCTCCGCACACATATGGCTAATTCTATATTATGCCATGCTCCACACATACTATCCTATGCCCCACTCATTTCAAAATGACCCAGAACTCTGAAGGTGTTTGTTAGGGTTGTACCGAATTTTGGGCAGAATACGTACACACACAGACTCATCGTTTTATTTATACCAGATTGGTCCCCCGGCAAGCGCCGGAACCTCCCTACCTTGCGTAAGCTTTCCCTTCTCCCTCCTCTCCTTACTCTCCCCTCGTTCTCCCTCTGCTCGCCGGCTACCACAGCATCACCTTGTGGAATGACCGAAAGTGTGCTAAGTAGGTGTTTATATAGCCGTTAGGGTTATCACAATCATCCTGCTACAAAACATTGATATCTCAAATCCTGTAAGCTACCCGATTTGTTAGCGGTTTGTTTATCCCATGAGCTTCCTTCTCACTCACTTCATTTTGCGGACGGACACACATACATACATACATACATACACACACACATACAGAATAATGTATGCTTTATGTAAGTATGTATTATATATACAGGGGGCCAAAAAAAGAGTCACTTTGCCTATGGCGCATATCATCAAACTTTTCGTCGCAAAGGATGCCGCTGTTATTGGGAGTTATACGGCGAAATTATTCCTTAGATGTCCCCATAAGCAGAATCAGGCCCACCTTCGCTGCGTTCACCGTCTCCAGAATATGACGTCATCTGTCATCACCGTCGAGCTTAAGGAGGCCTACAATAATCGCTCCATTCTGAAGCTGCTACATAAATTCTTCAATCGGATAACTGGTGAATGACTTCTTAGAGACACTAGCTCTGACTATGCAAAATGGCTTTTGACCAGCGTTTCAGAGACGTCGTAATCATCTATGGTTTCTCGACGACCCCGTTGAGCTCGTACCGCGAACCATGTTTCCGTGGGAAAATCTTCTGGTGTCGTCGGTTTAGAAGGCCACTATGCAATGTTTTTGATAGAATAGAATGTGCTCTTCAATATGCAATTGAGCTCATTCGGTTTGGTTTTGGCAAAGTGTAATTAATTCTGTTTTGAATGTGAGTAGGAGTGACTCTTTTTTTTTGGCCCCCCCCCCTGTATGTATGTATGTATGTGTGTCCGTCCGCAAAATGAAGTGAGTGATAAGGCAGCTAACGGAATAAACAAGCCGCCAACAAATCTGGGTAGCTCGCAGGATTTGCGCTATCAATGTTTTGCACAAGCATGATTGTGATAACCCAGAACGGCTATATAAACACGCACTTAGCACACTTTCGGTCATTCCACAAGGTGATGCTGTGGTAGCCGGCGAGCAGAGGAGAACGAGGGGAGAGTAAGGAGAGGAGGGAGAAGGGAAAGCTTACGCAAGGTAGGGAGGTTCCGGCGCTTGCCGGGGGACCAATCTGGTATAAATAAAACGATGAGTCTGTGTGTGTACGTATTCTGCCCAAAATTCGGTACAACCCTAACAAACACCTTCAGAGTTCTGGGTCATTTTGAAATGAGTGGGGCAGTGGGCATAGGATAGTATGTGTGGAGCATGGCATAATATAGAATTAGCCATATGTGTGCGGAGCATGGCATAATATTGAGCGCACATACGCTGGGTGGCATACCACGAAGGGCGGTTCCCACAGCTAAAGTCATGAATTTGATTCCAAAACATCTTAAAACCAGGGAGATGAGTCAGGGCATGCACTGTATCGACAATTCGGATGGGACCTGCCTTCGGTGGGCGAAGCCTTACCTACAACTTAGTGCTTAATAAAAAAATCGTGACTGGTTTGGAAGAAAGCGTTTGGAAGCAGGGAAAATGATATAGGACAATTCTATGGTGCTCCCACCACACCTGACAAGAGAGGAGGTCTCCGCCGCACAGTGGGCGAAGTGTGTCTCCAAGTAACAGTGCTTCCTACAATTTCTCCACATTGATCTGAGAAGTCGCAGAAATCGGAGAGAAGATGATGAGGTTGGAGATGGAGGGTAGTCAATTAATGAGTTAAGAACCGTAACCGTAACCCGTAACTGGTTGGCGCGATGCCATGTGTGATCGGTTTGAGTTCGACGTACCTTTTGTCGTTTTCCGCGCACTCCAAGGCGACAAAATGGACGTTTAGAACCTGTCAATTGTATGGAGCGTCTGTGCAGCATACATGTGGAGTATGGCAGGGTAGTCTAGCTTGCCGGCAAAAGGTTTGGCGGTACCCTGAGGTTTACCTCCCTTGCCCTGCGCGCGAAGCATGCGCAGTCGCTTGTCTCGCCGCGGAGCGGTAGGGCCGCGAGTGCTGCGTGCATTTTTCGATAGCCGCCCAAGGGCGCCGTGCGAGGCATTATACCCTCTCACGTTGGTGCTGGAACGTGCCGGTACACAGCAGTAGTGTAGCTACGCGCTCCGATGTTAACGTGAATTACGGTAGCGATCACTCATTGGACTGTTAAAACGGGCTTGTTGGGGGGGGGGGGTCAAGTGCTAATGATGGGTGGGAATGCACATAAGTGGGTGGATTAGCCAAGAAACCTCAATTGGGTTTCGACAAATCTCAGAGAATAGGAAAAAATAGGTATGAAGTCGACAA